ATACGACGCTAATGTGGGATTACTCACTCAATTTTCAACGTCTGAGGAAAACAGAGGACCAGCCAGACATATGGAAGGCAGATATTAGTTCGATAAACAAAATGCCCTACCGTCCGTGAATTGGGATTGCCTGCTCAAGGAAGATCCGGAGGAGGACTGGGACCGCTCAAGACGATTGCATTAGGTATAATTAAGCGCTATTGTCCGCTGAAGGTATACAAGACGCCTAGTCGCCCTACCTGCATGACGAGAGACCATAACAGACAATTAAAGGAGAAAAATAAGAAATGGAAGTTATTCCGAGAAACTGGGTCGATGAGTGCCGTCGCCAAAGAGATGCTGTAAAAAGTCAATTCGTCAGGCCAATAAAAACTATGAATCAAGAATCCTCCAACAGGCTGAAGACAAGCCCAAAATTCTATTCCGCTATATTAATAGTTGATTAAAAACAAGGACCCAGTCGCTGTACTTAAGGATTATAATGGAGTGGAAGTCGTTGACAATGGCGAGAAATTTGAATACAGAAGCCGGTTCTTTGCTTCGGTATTCACTAAATAAACCGAGCTTTAGTTTCACAATGTCAACAATACTGTTGTAGGTGCTGGTCCAGCGCTTAAATCTTTACTATTTCTAACTTCTGTAGTTTAAAGAGTGGTGCAACGCCTCAAAGAAGCAAAGTAATCCGGTCCAGACAATATACCGGCCAAGTTCTTGAAAGAATTGGCAAGTAAGCTCTCAAAGATCCTAGTACATATCTTTCGTTCTTTATTTGAATTAGGAAGACTGCCATCTGACTGGAAAATAGTAAACATTTGTCCGATACACGAGGATGGGGCCCGAAAAAATGTGAACAATTATCGGCCCGTTAGCCTAATTTGCATTTGCTGTAAGGTGATGGAAACGATAATCAAGAAGGCGACAATGCAGTTCCTGGAGGAGAACAACTTACTTTCAGGGCGCCAAAACGTCTTCAGACAGAATTACTCTTGTTTTTCTAGCCTATTGCTCTCGACTGAGCAGTTGACTCGCGCACTGGAAGAAGATGGTAAGGTTGACGTCATTTATACGGATTATAAGAAGGCGTTCGACAGCGTCTCACATAAACGCCTATTGTATAAATGATCGGAAATTGGAATGAGAGGAAACCTGCTGGCATTGATCACAGACTTTCTCACAGGGCGATCGCAAACAGTGTGCATCGGTGACTTGAAGTTAACTCCCACATCTGTTCTAAGTTGCGTCCCCCAAGGCTCTGTCTTAGGGCAAATTCTCTTCCTGATCTATATTAACGACCGTGTTGACGACCTGGGTTGCAGCGCCATCATGTTTGCTGACGACTTCAAACTCTGGTGAGCTATTAGATCTGACACCGATAGACCGGCGCTTCAAGGGAGTCTCAATAAACTTTGCAACTGGTCCGCTCGTTGGCTCTTAAGATTC